GTTTTGTTTGGGAAGGAGGGGCTGGGGAGACTTTTTTTAAGCATTTATTTAAATTAGGGGCTGGGGGTATTTGGCGGCTGAAGTCCCCCTTTCTTGACCCACCCCTGCCGGGAAAAACCTTACTTCCCTTTGGGGGAAAGTTCCAGCGGACACCCATAACATTGACCTAATACACAACTCCATTTTTCTATATTCAGTCTCTGAAGTGGTAACTTCTTATAAGTTTCTCCAGTAGAAAAATTTGTCATAGTTATTCTTCTTTATGGTTGAATAGGGATAGCAACTTAGTCATGAACTAACATTTTAAAGCACAAGACTGATAGGGAGCATATATATATAATATATATATATATAATATATATATATATATATATATATATATATATATATATATATATTTATTTTTTTTTATTATCACACCGGCCGATTCCCACCAAGGCAGGGTGGCCCGAAAAAGAAAAACTTTCACCATCATTCACTCCATCACTGTCTTGCCAGAAGGGTGCTTACACTACAGTTTTTTAAACTGCAACATTAACACCCCTCCTTCAGAGTGCAGGCACTGTACTTCCCATCTCCAGGACTCAAGTCCGGCCTGCCGGTTTCCCTGAATCCCTTCATAAATGTTACTTTGCTCACACTCCAACAGCACGTCAAGTATTAAAAACCATTTGTCTCCATTCACTCCTATCAAACACGCTCACGCATGCCTGCTGGAAGTCCAAGCCCCTCGCACACAAAACCTTCCTTTACCCCCCTCCCTCCAACCCTTCCTAGGCCGACCCCTACCCCGCCTTCCTTCCACTACAGACTGATACACTCTTGAAGTCATTCTGTTTCGCTCCATTCTCTCTACATGTCCGAACCACCTCAACAAACCCTTCCTCAGCCCTCTGGACAACAGTTTTGGTAATCCCGCACCTCCTCCTAACTTCCAAACTACGAATTCTCTGCATTATATTCACACCACACATTGCCCTCAGACATGACACTCCACTGCCTCCAGCCTTCTCCTCACTGCAACATTCATCACCCACGCTTCACACCCATATAAGAGCGTTGTAAAACTATACTCTCATACATTCCCCTCTTTGCCTCCAAGGACAAAGTTCTTTGTCTCCACAGACTCCTAAGTGCACCACTCACATCTTTTTCCCTCATCAATTCTATGATTCACCTCATCTTCATAGACCCATCCGCTGACACGTCCACTCCCAAATATCTGAATACGTTTCACCTCCTCCATACTCTCTCCCTCCAATCTGATATTCAATCTTTCATCACCTAATCTTTTTGTTATCCTCATAACCTTACTCTTTCCTGTATTCACCTTTAATTTCTTCTTTTGCACACCCTAACCAAATTCATCCACCAATCTCTGCAACTTCTCTTCAGAATCTCCCAAGAGCACAGTGTCATCAGCAAAGAGCAGCTGTGGACAACTCCCACTTTGTGTGTGATTCTTTATCTTTTAAACTCCACGCCTCTTGCCAAGACCCTCGCATTTACTTCTCTTACAACCCCATCTATAAATATATAAAACAACCACGGTGACACACACATCCTTGTCTAAGGCCTACTTTTACTGGGAAAAAATTTCCCTCTTTCCTACATACTCTAACTTGAGCCTCACTATCCTCGTAAAAACTCTTCACTGCTTTCAGTAACCTACCTCCTACACCATACACTTGCAACATCTGCCACATTGCCCCCCTATCCACCCTGTCATAACGCCTTTTCCAAATCCATAAATGCCACAAAGACCTCTTTAGCCTTATCTAAATACTGTTCACTTATATGTTTCACTGTAAAACACCTGGTCCACACACCCCCTACCTTTCCTAAAGCCTCCTTGTTCATCTGCTATCCTATTCTCCGTCTTACTCTTAATTCTTTCAATTATAACTCTACCATACACTTTACCAGGTACACTCAACAGACTTATCCCCCTATAATTTTTGCACTCTCTCTTTTATCCCCTTTGCCTTTATACAAAGGAACTATGCATGCTCTCTGGCCAATCCCTAGGTACCTTACCCTCTTCCATACATTTATTAAATAATTGCACCAACCACTCCAAAACTATATCCCCACCTGCTTTTAACATTTCTATCTTTATCCCAACAATCCCGGCTGCCTTACCCCCTTTCATTTTACCTACTGCCTCACGAACTTCCCCCACACTCACAACTGGCTCTTCCTCACTCCTACAAGATGTTATTCCTCCTTGCCCTATACACGAAATCACAGCTTCCCTATCTTCATCAACATTTAACAATTCCTCAAAATATTCCTTCCATCTTCCCAATACCTCTAACTCTCCATTTAATAACTCTCCTCTCCTATTTTAACTGACAAATCCATTTGTTCTCTAGGCTTTCTTAACTTGTTAATCTCACTCCAAAACTTTTTTCTATTTTCAACAAAATTTGTTGATAACATCTCACCCACTCTCTCATTTGCTCTCTTTTTACATTGCTTCACCACTCTCTTAACTTCTCTCTTTTTCTCCATATACTCTTCCCTCCTTGCATCACTTCTACTTTGTAAAAACTTCTCATATGCTAACTTTTTCTCCCTTACTACTCTCTTTACATCATCATTCCACCAATCGCTCCTCTTCCCTCCTGCACCCACTTTCCTGTAACCACAAACTTCTGCTGAACACTCTAACACTACATTTTTAAACCTACCCCATACCTCTTCGACCCCATTGCCTATGCTCTCATTAGCCCATCTATCCTCCAATAGCTGTTTATATCTTACCCTAACTGCCTCCTCTTTTAGTTTATAAACCTTCACCTCTCTCTTCCCTGATGCTTCTATTCTCCTTGTATCCCATCTACCTTTTACTCTCAGTGTAGCTACAACTAGAAAGTGATCTGATATATCTGTGGCCCCTCTATAAACATGTACATCCTGAAGTCTACTCAACAGTCTTTTATCTACCAATACATAATCCAACAAACTACTGTCATTTCGCCCTACATCATATCGTGTATACTTATTTATCCTCTTTTTCTTAAAATAGTGTATTACCTATAACTAAAACCCCTTTCTATACAAAGTTCAATCAAAGGGCTCCCATTATCATTTACACCTGGCACCCCAAACTTACCTACCACACCCTCTCTAAAAGTTTCTCTCCTACTTTAGCATTCAAGTCCCCTACCACAATTACTCTCTCACTTGGTTCAAAGGCTCCTATACATTCACTTAACATCTCCCAAAATCTCTCTCTCTCCTCTGCATTCCTCTCTTCTCCAGGTGCATACACGCTTATTATGACCCACTTCTCGCATCCAACCTTTACTTTAATCCACATAATTCTTGAATTTACACATTCATATTCTCTTTTCCTCCTTCCATAACTGATCATTTAACATTACTGCTACCCCTTCCTTTGCTCTAACTCTCTCAGATACTCCAGATTTAATCCCATTTATTTCCCCCCACTGAAACTCTCCTGCGCCCTTCAGCTTTGTTTCGCTTAGGGCCAGGACATCCAACTTCTTTTCATTCATAACATCAGCAATCATCTGTTTCTTGTCATCTGCACTACATCCACGCACATTTAAGCAACCCAGTTTTATAAAGTTTTTCTTTTTCTCTTTTTTAGTAATTGTATACAGGAGAAGGGGTTACTAGCCCATTGCTCCCGGCATTTTTAGTCGCTCATACGACACGCATGGCTTACGGAGGAAAGATTCTTTTCCACTTCCCCATGGACAATAGAAGAAATAAAAAAGAACAAGAGCTATTTAGAAAAAGGAGAAAAACCTAGATGTATGTATATATATATATGCATGTGCGTGTCTGTGAAGTGTGACCAAAGTGTAAGTAGGAGTAGCAAGATATCCCTGTTATCTTAGCGTGTTTATGAGACAGAAAAAGAAACCAGCAATCCTACCATCATGCAAAAACAGTTACAGGTTTTTGTTTCACAGTCATCTGGCAGGACGGTAGTACTTCCCTGGGTGGTTGCTGTCTACCAACCTACTACCTATATATATATATATATATATATACATATATATATATATATATATATATATTATATATATATATATATATAATATATATATATATATATATATTTCTATCATGGTAGAGATATTGCAGAAAGAATAGAGATCACAGTCGTAATTTTGAGACTTTACATATAATTTTCTCTCAATAAAAATGTTTAACACTCACACATGCCACTCTTTGATATCCTTACTTTGTTTCTTAAACAGGCCTTCGATCACCTGGTTTTATGGTGCCATTTCCCTGGCCATTGATCATGGGAGTCGGCATGGTAGGAATGCCTTCATAGTTTTTACTCTCATCTACTTTGTAAGTGCCATCTTGGCATCCCTTAAATTTGAGTATAAGTAGAATGATGAGTATAACAATGATGAGGGCCCCTGCAATAATGCTGATAATAAGGGCGACATTCCCAGCAGCTTCACTGTGGATCTGGTCCAACGGGTCCTCTTTAACACTAGATTTCTTGTTGTTGTTGAACTCCACCTCTGGGTATGGGTACTCGTGTTCGTAGTCAGTCACCGTGAAGGGAGGTTCTTGCGGTCGCGAGGGAGGGGCGACGGGGGTAGCCATGGTAGTTTGGGGTCGTTGTCGTGTCCTCGGCGTCTGGGTGGTGGTTTTGGTGGTTGTGGTGGTGGTGGTAGGGCCAGAGCCAGGGTCCTTCCTAGGAGGTCCCGAACCGTTGCTAGATGGGTTGTGCTCCTCAGAGTGGATCACACCTGGAGCAACCATGGGGTGATGAATCGCAGGGAATTCAATATCTATATCGTCACCTGATAGAAACAAAAACAGATAAATATGGTCAAATTATAGATAAAATTTAGTTTGCAAGGAATAAAGTAGCATGTTGAGGAATTACAGTAGAAGCCCAGTATCCGCTGATTCAGTAATCCACTCTTTACAGTGGCTTAAACATACCTCTTAATTTTGCATAATAATGGCCTCAGAGCACAAAATTAGAGAAAACCGTTTAAGTGCTTAAAATACAAAAAGATATTTTTAAAACACACATCATCCCACCAAAGTAATAAAGAAACCAAACAAGATACTACCCTAGTTTCACTGACACAAGGGGGAATAAAAAAAAGACCGGAAAACACTCTCTCAATTCTAGGGACCCACAAACTAAAAAAAAACAAAAATATTGTCCCTAACTAAACCTAATGAAACACCACTGCAACCCACGACACAGCTAACAAAAAACGACTTCTCTCACCATTTTCTAATCTCGCAATAAAATCCAATACCAATGCCCATGCCGGGGACTCCCTAATGGAATTTCCCAAAATTTCCTTCTATCTTGCTCCAACGAGCCCAGGAAGTCCCCAAATTTAAAAAGCACTTAAAAATAACTCGGGAATTGTCTCATGTCCCCCCATTATTGTACAAGAGAGTGGCCCAGTCCTCTCGCATACATCTCTTTGCTTTTTAACAAGTCACTAACCTAGCCCCTTCCAAAACTACTCAAGGGGGAAAGGGGTTACACCAAATAATAAAGGTGTGACCCTACAGATTTAAAACAACAAGGGCCAATATCAAACTTACCATTGCTATCCAAAATCTTTGAGAAACTCGTGCACAGGAGACTATATTCATTTATAACGTCAAAACATACTCAACCCCTGCCAATTTGGATTCAGGAAAAATAAAAGCACTAACGATGCAATTATAAAAATGCTAGATTGCTTTACACAGCATTGGAAAATAAGGAATATCCACTAGGAATTTTATTGACCTAAGAAAAGCTTTGACACAGTAGACCACGGCATCCTACTCCACAAACTTGACCTTTTATGGAAATAAGGGGCCCATGCGCTTGCATATTTCAAATCTTACCTTACTAATAGGTATCAGTATGTCACCTTTTAAAGACACAGCATCAACAACACAGCCACTTGATACTGGAGTTCCGCAGGGAAGGTCTTGGTCCCCTGCTTTTTCCTCATATACATCAATGATCTTCCAAACTTTATCTCGACACCTGAACCCCATTCTCTTTGCTGACGACACGACTTAGTCATCTCCCCACCCTAATCTTGCAACCCTCAACACCATTGTTAATGAGGAGCTGATCAAAATACGACTTGGATGACACCCAAATAAACTTAGGGCTTAATGTTGACAGAAACCTACTACATTATGTTTGGGTAGCAGAGCAGGAGATGCGCAAATTAAACATTAAGATCGACAACACTCTAATTACCAGGCATAATGAGGGCAAATTCCTAGGCCTATACCTCGACAACAACCTGAATTTCAGCACCCATATCCAACACATAACAAAAAAAGTATCCAAAACGGTTGGGATCCTCTCCAAGATACGATACTACGTGCCGCAAACTGCCCTTCTCACACTATACCATTCACTTATATATCCATACCTCACCTATGTATCTGTGGTTGGGGTTCAACTGCAGCAACACACCTAAAGCCAATAATAACCCAACAAAAAGCCCAGTAAGAATAATCAATAAATCCCCCTCCCTGGCAACACACCCCCCCCCCTCTTCATAGATCTAAACTTACTCCCTGTTCAGTAAAATCCACACTTACTACTGTGCAATCTATCATCTACAGACCTTAAATTCCAATATTAACCTTGACCTAAAAGTTTTCTTGATAGTTGTGACAGAACCCACAGGCACAACACCAGACACAAACATCTCTATGACATTCCCCCTGTCCGACTAAACCTTTACAAAAATTCAATGTATGTCAAAGGCCCTAAAATCTGGAACACCCTACCTGAAAATTCCAAAACTGCAGACACATTTATTTACCTTCAAAACTACCATCAGAAAACATCTTATCTCCCGAACACCCTGTCAACAATAATACGAATACACCTGGTGGTTCACACTTACCCCTCACTCACCCTTTGACCATAAACAGAAATATCAATCTCAATCTCAAAATAATGAATCTTAACTAGTCAAAAGTTGGGGTGTGATACTCCAATACTGAAACTATGTGTAGTGCCAAAACTAAAGCCCTTCACATTGCTAAACTCACAACTAGTATTTAGTCACTTAGCCATATACCAACTTATCCCATAATTTTGTAACATTTTAAACCTAAGATTTAATATAAGTCTGCCCGAAATGCCTAGCCATGCTAGGTGTTCTAGTGGTACACTGTAATTATTATTTTACTACATGTAAACCACACAATAACCAAATTCTGTAAACTCAGCATTGTAATACTTATAGAGAATAAAGTTTGAATTGAATTGAATTGAATTCAGCCCAGTCTGTGACCAGTAGGTAATGCCAAATAAGTAATGACTTACCATTATAAATCTCAGTAATAACTCCACCTTCGGTGCTGAACTCTCCCGAGCCTGACCCAGTACAACAGTCCTCCTCATCGTCACAAGGTCGAACACCAATACCAACATCGCGGTCTGGTATATGTGGCTTGGGTGAAGGTTTGGTCATTGGTGGCAGCGTCGGTGGGATGTACAGAGGCGTTATAAGGTCATCGCCTGTGGAAAATATTTTTTTGTTTACATAAATCATTTACATAAATCATTATGTATATGACTCCATGATCCACTTGGGTTCGGAATTTATTTTAAAATTATAAGAAAATAATAATCAGAAAAAAATAACAAAAGTCAATATACGTATGTATCCAAATTTACGAAAAAAAAAATACATATCAAATAAAACTTTTTTTGAAACTATATTATCAAAATGACCTTTTAGAATACATAAAAATAGTTTTGTCATCAATTACAATAATGTAATAAAAGTTCATGAAAATGAATTTATCTACAAATATTTTGTATTAAAGTTATTACACAATTTAGCACATATCATAAATATAATAATAAGAATTATTATTATTAAAAAAGTAATTTAATAGTAATAATAATAATGATAATATTAATAATAATGATAGTTACTAAAAACAACAGACATAGCCCCACTCCACAAAGGGGGCAGTAAAGCAACAGCAAAGAACTACAGACCAATAGCACTAACATCCCATATCATAAAAATCTTTGAAAGGGTCCTAAGAAGCAAGATCACCACCCATCTAGAAACCCATCAGTTACACAACCCAGGGCTACATGGGTTTAGAACAGGTCGCTCCTGTCTGTCTCAACTATTGGATCACTACGACAAGGTCCTAAATGCACTAGAAGACAAAAAGAATGCAGATGTAATATATACAGACTTTGCAAAAGCCTTCGACAAGTGTGACCATGGCGTAATAGCGCACAAAATGCGTGCTAAAGGAATAACAGGAAAAGTCGGTCGATGGATCTATAATTTCCTCACTAACAGAACACAGAGAGTAGTAGTCAACAGAGTAAAATCCGAGGCAGCAACGGTGAAAAGCTCTGTTCCACAAGGCACAGTACTTGCTCCCATCTTGTTCCTCATCCTCATATCTGACATAGACAAGGATGTCAGCCACAGTACCGTGTCTTCCTTTGCAGATGACACCCGAATCTGCATGACAGTGTCTTCCATTGCAGACACTGCAAGGCTCCAGGCGGACATCAACCAAATCTTTCAATGGGCTGCAGAAAACAATATGAAGTTCAACGATGAGAAATTTCAATTACTCAGGTATGGTAAACACGAGGAAATTAAATCTTCATCAGAGTACAAAACAAATTCTGGCCACAAAATAGAGCGTAACACCAACGTCAAAGACCTGGGAGTGATCATGTCGGAGGATCTCACCTTCAAGGACATTGTATCAATCGCATCTGCTAGAAAAATGACAGGATGGATAATGAGAACCTTCAAAACTAGGGATGCCAAGCCCATGATGACACTCTTCAGGTCACTTGTTCTATCTAGGCTGGAATATTGCTGCACACTAACAGCACCTTTCAAGGCAGGTGAAATTACTGACCTAGAAAATGTACAGAGAACCTTCACGGCATGCATAACGGAGATAAAACACCTCAATTACTGGGAGCGCTTGAGGTTCCTGAACCTGTATTCCCTGGAAATGCAGGCGGGAGAGATACATGATTATATACACCTGGAAAATCCTAGAGGGACTAGTACCGAACTTGCACACTTGGCAGATGATGCAGCATCCCCCCAATGAAAAGCAGGGGTGTCACTAGCACGTACAATAAGTGTCAGGGGCCCGAGACTGTTCAACTGCCTCCCAGCATACATAAGGGGGATTACCAACAGACCCCTGGCAGTCTTCAAGCTGGCACTGGACAAGCACCTAAAGTCGGTTCCTGACCAGCCGGGCTGTGGCTCGTACGTTGGTTTGCGTGCAGCCAGCAGTAACGGCCTGGTTGATCAGGCTCTGATCCACCAGGAGGACTGGTCACAGACCGGGCCGCGGGGGCGTTGACCCCCGGAACTCTCTCCAGGTAAACTCCAGGTAATTATAATAGTAATAATGACAGTAGTAATAATAATAGTAATAATAATAATAATAATCATTGGCAGCTTGTCCATAGGAGCTGCAATGCTGCAGTCTCCCTCAGATGCTCACTGCCAGATGTATGACTTCATCAACTTTATGCTAAAATAATTTGCAACTGACAAATATATTACAGGAAAAATGTGTTGTATGTTGTTTTCAATGTATTTATAAGTGATTTTTTAAATTTTTTTGTTGAAATGAGATTAAAAAATTATTAAAAATAGAAGTCTGATGCGGTATGATAGTACAATAGGTATTAGTGCCACTGGTAATAATGATAACAGTAATAATAATGATGATAATAGTCTTACCTGAGCCAGTATCAAAGACAGGTATACACTCATCTTCATCACCCATGTCACAACCAGAACCAGCACCACTGAACACCAGGTCGTCTCCCTCACCAGGTGAGGGTCCTGGCATGGGTCAAGTCTGGAATCGGAGAATGCTCAGTGAACCACCATGATGAATACTCGTTTGGTGCATTAAGGCGCTCAGTCCTTCCACAGTGAAGTAATAAATCCAGGTGGTTGGTCCTTAATAAACAGAGGCTATGGAGCAGAATAATTATCAAGATTGATGGACTGACCACTTCAAACTTATTCTTTAAAGCTGAGGGACTGACTACCTCAAAATCATTCCTTCAAGGTTAAGGGACTGATCACCTCAAAATTATTCCTTCAAGGCTGAGGGACTGACCACCTCAAAATTATTCCTTCAAGGCTGAGAGACTGACTGCCTCAAAATTATTCCTTCAAGGCTGAGGGATTGACCACCTCAAAATTATTCCTCCAAGGCTGAGGGACTGACAACCTTGAAATTACTTCAAGGCTGAGGGGACTGACCACCTCAAAATTATTCTTTCAGGGCTGAGAGACTGATAAATTCAAAATTACTTCAAGGCTGATGGACTGACCACCTCAGAATTACTGCTACTTCAAGACTGAAGGACTGACCACCTTATATATCCCTCTCTGCTGCTGTGTTTGTGTTTCTAAGTGGGTTTCCTAGTTGAAACACTGAATTCCCCTCCAGGGAGATGCCTTGAAGCTGGTGAAGGGCTCTTAATTCAAGGAAGTGGATTTTCCTCTTTCTTGGATCACACCTGATTGTTTTCCATTTCCCATGTACTGTATAACCCCTATGGGTTTAGTGCTTCCCCATAAATATCATAATTAAATATTTAATGCCATTATTGAGACTGGCCCCTGGCTGGGTGCAGGACTAGGTAAACTACCAGAATAGGTCGCAGGTCAATCACAGGTCACAGTCAGTTCATACTGTGAGAGCAAATAAATTCCTCCTATCAGCTTAGATGATCCAACTACATGCAAAGTATATGGACAGTGTTATAGTCACACGAACACTATGTGTTTGTGTTGTTGAGGTGGCCGTGAAGTGTAGTCTCATCCTCATGTACCTTACTGTTACTCTTTTATTTTTTTATAGTTCCTTGATAATGTAAAATATCATGAAAGCACTTAAAAATTTCACTGTTTTTCTCAGTGGTATTCTGTACATATACATGTGTATATACAGCCTCTCCTCACTTAGTGACATACTCGTTTACCAACAACTCAGACTTAAAATGGGCTCTCTGTCCAGTATGCATACCTAAATAATGTATATAAGAGCTGATTTCCTCTATTGTTTATTACAAAATACAGTACAGTTCCAGGTATGTCTTTCTTGTTTATCCTGGACCCTATTTGGAAATTGGCATCTTTTGAAATTTGTGTGAAATTGGCAAAATTGCTAAATTCTGACCACTTTATTGGATAGTTGAAATCGGTAAATGAGTGGTTTCTTGAACTCATTCGCTAGAAAAAATGGAGTTCTAGAGAAATACAGTGGACCCTCGCCTAACGAACACATCGCATAACGTTAAATCCACCTAACGAAGCATTTGAGTGTAAAAATTTTGGCCCGCTTAACGATAAAAAACTCGCCCATCATGATTCCTCCCAAACCTGTCCGTCCAGCCTGAGCACCTCAGCTGCCTTGCCGTCATTGTTTACAAGCCAGGGTGGCCGGTTGCATGCATACATTCGATACATTTTGTATTCATTGTTTATAGTGCTTGTAACTGCTAAATAAGCCACCATGGGCCCAAAGAAAGCTTCTAGTGCCAGCCCTGTGGTAAAAAGGGTGAGAAATACTATTATACCGCAGTCAGTTTTTGCTGCACCACCGTCAGCTGTTGCTGGACCAGTCAGCTGTTGCTGCACCATGGTCAGCTGTTGCTGGACCAGTCAGCTGTTGCTGGATCAGTCAGCTGTTGCTGCACCATGGTCAGCTGTTGCTGGACCAGTCAGCTGTTGCTGGACCAGCCAGCTGTTGCTGGACCAGTCAGCTGTTGCTGGATCAGTCAGCTGTTGCTGGATCAGTCAGCTGTTGCTGGACCAAGTCAGCTGTTGCTGGACAGTCAGCTGTTACTGCACCACCATCAGCTGTACTTCTCAAAGATGTGGAGAGAGTGTTGTTGGTGTGGCTTAATGTGAAACAATTACCGAGAAACGATTAACCCTAGAGGGTTAGCCAACCAGGATAACCCAAGAAAGCCAGTGCATCATTGAGGACTGTCTAACTTATTTCCATTGGGGTCCTTAATCTTGTCCCCCAGGATGCGACCTACAACAGTCAACTAACACTCAGGTGAACAGGAAAAAATGCCTGGAACTAGTGCTCATATTGGTGAATTTATGGCCAGCAAAGGTTGGTTTGAGAAATTTAAGAATTATACTGGCATACACAGTGTGATAAGGCATGGCAAAGCTGAAAAATTCATTACCCAACAAGTGTTCAATTGTGAGGAAACAGGTCTGTTCTGGAAGAAAATGCCAAACAGGACCTACATTACTCAAGAGGAAAAGGCACTGCCAGGACACAAGCCTGTGAAAGACAGGCTAACTCTCATGTTTTGTTGTAATGCTAGTGGGGATTGTAAAGTGAAGTCTTTACTGGTGTATCGCTCTGAAAATCCCAGTGTTCAAGAAAAACAGTGTCTCATCACTCATCAATACTCTTCAATAAAGGTAAGTGTCATTTTAACATTTATGTAGTTATTGTGCATGTCTTATTGTTTTCTTTGTAGGGAAATGTATATTTAATGAAAAAAAAAAATTTAATACTTTTGGCTGTCTGGAACGGATTAATTGGATTTCTATTATTTCTTATGGGGAAAATTAACTCGGCTAGCGATATTTTCGGCTAACAATGAGCTCTCAGGAACGGATTAATATCGTTAGGCGAGGGTCCACTGTTCATTCAATATACTGACTTGTTGTTGGTCCTCGCAGGGTAAAACGTGTAACTTAAGGAAAGGGTCAGTGGAAAACGGAGGGCTGGAAAGTGAAAATTGAAGGGGCTTAAACTGGCCGGCAAGGAGTGGAGACAATGGCTAATCAGGTAGCTAGTGTAGTGAGGAAACAGGCGTAAGGAAGATGTCGAAAGCTCAGCCGAGGAATAAGGCCACTGGAAGGGAAGCCGGAAGCCAGAAATACTGATTGTGTATGGAGGAGGGATGGAAGGAAGGGAGGAAGGAAAGAAGAACAGTAAGAAGAAGTGGAGGAGAGATATGTGGAATAAGGAAGGATTGAAATGAGATGGAAGTATTGTTTTGTTA